CAAAGGAGGCCTCTAAGTCTTTGCCCTGATGCACCTGGGCTCGAAAGCTGCAGGACTGCGTGTCCATGGTGCCTTCCGGGGTGTGGGGCTGATCAGAGCCACAGGAACTACTAGGAAATGTGTTGGGTCAAACATTCAGACATGGAGCACGCGGTATTTAAGAGTTATTCCCAAAATAGTATTAAATCTATTCAAGCCAATTGCTGGACTGTCCTTTCCCAGCTTTAAGTTCACCAACAAGTTTTTTAAACCGTAGTACTCAATCCATGCTTGAGCTGCTCCCAAACCCCAGTGTTCACATACCTCTCCTCTGACCCTTACTCCAAGGTGCTCGACTCATGCTTCCAGCGTTTCAGTGTATTATCACCTCCACCACGCCCCTCTCCTACACCAGACAATCTCTGGTGCAAACGTCATTAGCTCTGGAGTGAAAGGACAAGCCTGGGAAGAAGGGCCTCGGCTTTTAAAAATGATGAGTAAGGTGCAGGACCAGAAGAGTCTGAAGGCTGGGGAGGAACTAGGGCCAGGAATGAGCCGAATGAGGCTTTTCAAATGAGTCCTACTGGGCTAGTCCTCCCAGCACTGCATCACATGGCACTTAGATTCTGGCACCGATTTCCGAGCCCTTATAAATTAAGACGTTTACATTCTGACTGTGAACCTCATTCATGCGTGACATCTCCAGTGAGTCCGTAACACCCTACCCCTCCGACCAACCCGTAAAAACCGATAGGCACAGTTAACTTTATACCTGTGGTCCAAACACACGCTTATTGGGGAGTGATGGGACATCTCTAAGCTGTACACCAATGGATAATTAAAGTTCTTAAACTGGCAATTCAAAAGGGTTGAGTTACATACGGGATAATGATACAGGAAAAGGGAAAACCCAAAAGGTTTTTGGTACTGGAGTCGATTCTTTTTCCACCAGGGACGGAGGGCCAAGACCCGGACCCCTGCTGGGAGGTCAAATACTCAACTGCAGGGCGGGGCCAGACGGGCTTCTTTCCCGGTGAACTCCTCCCGCTTAGCAGGGACATTGTCCTGAGCTGGACCAGAACTAAGCAAGTGTTGAAGAGCACCCCTTGGCATAAAGGAGTGGGAACTGCTGGGCACAGACAGGAATGTCCCTTATCAGTGTCACATTCTGTCCCTCCTGAGACACTGAAATGACACCCCCTCCCAGGCACTGCTCTGGCCGGCGCTGCGGCCCCTTTCTCTGATTTAGGGTAGTGGTCATGCTCCAACAGCCACCTGCATTCTTATGCCAGTTTCTCTTTACCAACTTGATTCTATTTTGGTCACTAACCTGTCTATAATCCTATTCTTAGCAGCCAAATTATGATCGCTAATAAAATGTTTTAATGTTATCACACACAAAATGTATGCAAAAAAAGTTTATATAAAATAAATTATGGAAATAAATACTCAAGAAATGTTTTTGGCTAAATTTCTCTCTTCATGTATGCATGGCTGATGTTTTGTGAACACAGCAATATGTTCCCTGGCACCACGAGCACCCTGAAGAACAGGTCTGTTTCCCATCGCTGTCACTGACCGCCCCTCACAAATGAACTGCTTCTCCAAGAGCACATTTCGCCACCTCCCACTGAGCACATCACAGCTATTTACCATGTGAATCAGCTTACTGACTGGGCTGAGGAACATTCATGAGGTCAATCTCCAGTGTTAATTCAATTATACCTGAAGTGCAACCCTTCCCACTAAAATTAAATATGCAACATTTTATACACAGAATCAGTCAAGTTTTCTAAGAATTATCAAATGCATAAATAGGAGGAATTGAAACTCTTCATAAAGAATCTAACTGAATTCCTTAATTAATCAACAGATTCCATTTTGGGGTCCATTTTGCTCATTTGTTTCTCTAACTCAATTGCTAGCTTAGTCTTTGAAGGACTGACTGTACCCAATACACTTTCCCTACTTAACACAAAGAGAAGTACACCAAGACCAAAACCTCCAAGACAGGAGCAAGAACTAAGAGTAATTTCACTGTTCACTGCTCTCAACAGTTAGCACTTCTTTCTTATTCTAATGGAGTTCGTGCCAGGACAGATGAAGACAGATAGAATGGCCTAAGTAAAACACTAGGATAAAATGATACAGTGCCTCTGCAGTCTAAATAAAGTAACTCCAAGTCTGACATAAAACAGCATGTCAATTCATGCAAACCATTTGGAATTCTTCAGAAGTAACCATTTTGATACCTGTGGTTCTCTAAAACTTCAGGCACTTAAATATTTTTATAAGAAGATAAGAACAATCTGTCTTGTTGCAGCTCTGGGCTCTTATCAGAAACTAAAATGACTCAATCTATAGCCCTTGAGCACTTTGCATATTAATAATGTTTCTCTAATATAAACTAGCTGACTTGACATTCTCTCCCGTTGAGCAAGCTGCTCTAGTCTTGAGGGAGGACATGGCAGGAGACAGCTAATCCGATTCTCAGTGCATTCATAAATCTCACAGAAATATTTAACAGATGATGCCACTACAGGTCGGTAGTAAATCTGATACAAGAGACATTATGGATTAGCTTTTTCCAACATCACATACACAGCAGTGACTTAAAAACGACTCCATCCGTCCGTCTCTGTATCATCTTCTCCAAACCACTGTGCCATCTAAGGCTGCTTAGTCCAAGTTCTCGTAACATGGAAACTGCTGGGGGAAACATCCCCAAGGACAGCGTCAGTGAAACATATTTATTATAAAATGTTTCCTCCTAATGGACTGGTAAAACAGAATGGTCCTGACTTATAACCTCTTCTTCAAAATACATTTTTAAATCAGAAAGATTTCTCTAATTTGCCCCAATCCTAACAACCTGTATTGTACATCAAAGTCACGTTTGATAGAAACAATCAGTTTTAAATGTGGTTACTTTGCTCAAAGACTTTGCTGAACAAAAATGTTTTACACAAAGTGTATCACCTGACATTTAAAGGACTTAGACGCATATAAAAAAAAAATCTGTACTTTTTCTTATAAATATTAATAATATTAATAAGCTCAAATTTTTATTCCTTTTTGTATGTTCATTTTAGTTTCAGTCTGTGGTTCCCCAAAAATATATTTCACATTAATCACATCTCAGTAAGAAACAAATTTAAAAGATGAAATTTTTTGCTTTTATGATAACCTCACACTCTCCCCAAATTATCAAATGTTATGTTCCTTAGCTGTTTGTTTAGTTTAAACCAAACAAACATGAGGCCTAAAGTGCGTAGCAGACCTGGTGAGCATTCACCTAAAATTCACACGGAAAAAGAGTAAGATGTTTTCTCTGCCAATTGTTGCAAATATGATTTCATGCAATATCCATGAGGATAAAACCAGCAGCAGCGCTCTTTCCCGCAAATGTAATGTGTAAAAAAAACTAGTTGCGAGTCAATGGGGGGAAAAAAGGAGAAACATCTGTAACAAAAATAAATTAATGAAAAATAAATTAAATTAAAAAAACAAAAAACTAGTTGCCCTGACCCAGCAATTTCTAAGGCTGATAGGTATCAATCAACCCAAGAAAAATGAAAACATGCAGCCACACAAAAAGCGGTACACAAATGTTCACAGTATCACTATGCAAAAGAGTCAAAAAGCAGAAACCACCAAGTGTCCATCAACAGATGAATGGATAAACAAGATGCGGTCTATCCATACGGTAGAATATTACTCAGCCATAAAAAGGAATGATAAACCGATGTCTGCTGCCAACATGGACAGAATTATATGATTCCATTTCTATGAAATGTCCACCATAGGCAAATCCACAGAGACAGACGCAGATCAGTGGCTGCCAGGGGCTGGGAGGAGGGAGAATTGGGAGTGATTACTGTGGGGTTTCTTTTCGGGGTGATGACAATACTCTGGAATTAGACAGTGGTGATGGTTGCATAACTGTGCATATACTAAAAACCACTTTAAGTGCATGATTTAAAATGATGAGTGTTATGGTATATAAATGAGAGCTCACTTTTCAAAAAAAGGTTGCCCCTAGTCTTCTCCTCTCCCCACACACACTCCTAGCAATTTATGTTAGAAAAGTTTGGGGGGAAAACATTGTGTTTAATGTTTCAGATATGGTAACAAGTCTTTTTAAGTTGTTCAGATTGTTTAGTAGAAAAATCTACCTCGTGTTTTTAGGGAAAATCAATGACTCAGACATAGAAGCAGAAAACAAGTACTTACTATTAAACAAATCACGGATTTTTGAACTCAATAACAATGCTACATTTGTCTGGGTTCTCTACTTTCTCTCCATGCTGTGATAAGTCCTGCTTGGGGAGCATTAAGCAAGCTCCCAAAGGCACGGCAAAGGTACCAGGTGGCAAGAATCCTTTGAAGGGTACACCAGGCCAGCCGCACTGACCGAAGGACAGGAGAGTGCATCTCAGACCTTGGCAGGAAAGAGGAAGGAGGAAGAGAAACCCCAGCATGGGTGAAACGGGGTCACTTAAAGGCTAATGGCTACGCTGTGCAGTTCCCTCTCAATTTCATTGGAAGAGGCAACGAAGCTCGTGGCACGGACCCAACCTCTGAGAGTCTACGTCAGGTCCTCGTTGGAGAGACGTGACAGACCTACTGTCCAAGATAATGAGCCAACTCCTAGTTATACCACTAGTTACAAAAAGTACCACTGTCCATCACCAGGAAGCCTCCAGAACTTGGTTAAATCAGTAAAACTGACTGAAAATGATATGTACATCTGCATGAATGTGGAAAGAGTTCTACCATGGAAAGGAAAAGAGCAAGTTACAAAATCATAAAGTAATGTGTGTGTTAACATAGAAAAAAGCCCCATGACATTTATAGAGATCTCTGGACGTGAAATTTTCCAGGTTATTTTCACTTTCTTCATCATTTTTACATGTTACCACTTTTTAAAAACAGTAAACATGTATTACTTTTCTGGAAAGGGGCTGGGGTTGCACCTGATGCTGCTCAGGCAAAGGGAAGGAGAGGCTCTGCGGGCGCACCTTCTGAGTTCAGGGTGATGAGGGTGACGTTGTTCCCGATGTTCTGACTTCCCGACTGTCCACAGGTGGAAACGGAGTCACTGGCCTCGGACCCGCTCTCCCCGTCCTCGTTGTGGCTGTCTTCTTGCCCCGGCACCTTCACCACAATGGTGTTCTGCCGACGCCCTGGAACCGCGCTGAGCGGGGAAACAAAAACAGCAGCAGTGTTGTGAGAGCAGCGCCCCCGGCGGTGGAGCCCAGCACCAGCCGCTGCACATCCTTCTTTCCTCCCCTCACCAGGGACTAACTCCGCTCAGAGCAGCCAGGCCCAAGTCTTCCCATGCAGCTCCTTCCACCAAGATTGACAGCAAATGGATAACAGGAAATAGTCTGGGGTTGGAAGAAACTGTGTAACATTTTAGAAGTTTAAATAAGTGTTTATATCATGAAGTAAAATCACAGCTCTCTGTGACTCAAGGCCTAAGTGCTGTTTTCTGATCACAGAGGTGTTCCTACCTCTTACGTAATTACTCTTACATTCACAGAAGAGTAATTTTTAAGGCTATGTCAAAGGAAATTAAGAGGAAGCATAGCTAGAGACTTCTACTGATCCAATCCACTCCATACCGCTGGACATTCTAGAAATGACTCAGCCTTTGAAAATGCAGGTATCACTCCCAATGATTCCCACTGACAAAAACCACTAAGTGGGTTTAAAAAGCCAGTCAAGTATCTCCGATGGAATATTCTCACCACCATCAGGGGTCCTGTACAGAGTGATAAGATATTGCCAGAAAAACGGAACCAATCCAGCTCCAAAGAGTACTAAAAAAAAGAAAGATTATCCAGAAACATGCTACTTGCCTTTTTAACAACCCTTTCAACGTCCCTTCATGCGGACTGCTAAGCACTGAGAAAGAGGAGAGAAGCCGTTTCCCTGTTCACACACCAATACCATTTCAGACCCTGGCCCTATCGGAGAAGGGAGCTACACCTTCTTGATTCCACGGAGGCCTGTCCAGGCTGACCTGGCTCCCGGAGGCTCAGCCTCTGAGGGCTGACCTCCACCTGAGCCACGTGACAGGCACACCCGACCCTGCCTCTTCTCCACCGGCCAGACCTCCTCAGCCTCTGAGCACCTAGACAGCGGACTTCACCTTGTCCCCTGCACCCCAGCACGCACGCCCTCAGCAGCACAGCTGGGCTCCCAGAGACCTGGGCTATGACAACAAAGAAAACAGGACACAGCTGGAGGAGGAACAACCTGCAAAGGAGACTGAGAGAAAAGGCAAAACCGAACATTGTGAAGACAGGGGTAGGAAACAAAAAGCAAAAGAGCCCTCCTGGAGGCATGTTATCAGGAAGAGCTGAGCCTCGACCGCTAGGCAGGGCCACCTGGAGCTTACTTCACTGTCACGCAAGGGTGGTGACAATGCCTTATATACACTCCCATCTCTGATGAAGGTTACATTCAAAATGTCTCCAAAGGAAAAGGTATGAGAAAAAAAGCTATCACCTCAAAATGTCGCCTCCACTTAGCAAATTTACATGAGGATGTCTGTTGACCTGACATACTACTAGACAGACAGACAGACAGATGTGAGTAAGCCATGAGCAGGTAAGAAGATAAGGGCTTGACTGGCACAGCATAATGTCCCGATACCACATGCTACACTGGACACAAGAATCCCAAATGTGGTCTCTCCCTTAACCTCTCTCTTATCCAGTTCGTCCAACAGGACCTCGGTCTGCAGCGTGGCACCACCCTCCCCACTGCAAAGACCTGTGGGCAATGCCTATTGTGCAACCCGTGTGAGAACAGAAATGCCCGAGTGTGTCCGGCTTGGAATGCTGCTCTGTCCTCAAGGGGACTCATCGTGGTGGTATTGGCAGTGAAAGGTGGGGGTAGTGTGGCTACTGACTTGCTAATGATATTTTCCAGGGAATCCGGTGCCCTGTTGCTCAAGGGGTCTTCCATCTTGGCTACAATGGCGTTCTGCCGATCACTGTTGAGTATTACTGTAGTCTGGGGGACGACGCTAGGGAACAAAAGAATCACAAAGAAAAAGAAGACCTTAAAACGACAACATTCATTGTAAGAGTGCATAAGAGTAATTCAATACAGTCTCCTCCCAATGATGGAGGGAGGCGGCCCCAGGCAGAAATCACATTTAAAGTAATAAACAATTTACATTGGACAAAGAATACACTGGAGATGGGGGGTTTTCAATAGAGAATTTAGCCTTCCCCATTATTGGTATTCTCAGTCTGCACAACGGGATAGTATGGAAAGATGTACTTAACCCTTTATACAGAATAGACCAAAATGGCACAAATTGTGCTTAGATAATAAGGCTTCTAAAGTAGCGTGATTCCTGAAAAACGGCTTAACGTTTTTACTCATCTCATCCCAACGGTTCCTACAGGACAATTCTAGGCTTTTGTAACCACTATACTTATCAATACCATCCCAAAATGTTAGCGCTGCTCTGGAAAGAAAGGGCAAACACAGTACAGGGACAGCAGGTGGGCCGCAGGGCGCTGGCCACCTCCAGGTTCCACTGGGACAGTGCGGGAACCATGACCCAAGGGCCTTGGGGCTTCATTTTGAAGGAAAGAGATCACAGGAGCCCTCACCGGGCACCTTCTTAGAGGTGGCACTGTGTGTTCACCAGCAGCCAACAGCCCATCTGGAGGAGCACACTCACTGAGACGTCTCAGGCACTGACCTTCTAGCCCTCAGTGCTTATGGCCCCAGGAGATTTTACAGTCTGCTTCGTTGTGGGGGTCGGAGTGCCACAAGGAGCACTTGAAACACAGGTAACATACCTAAAGAGTGCCATTCTTGGATCTCACTCTCCAAAACACAACCCTGGGGAAGCACTGCCTTTACACGAGAAGACTCACGTAACCAACAGTGCATGTGAAAATCTAGCCCACCATTGGCCACACGGCTGGCTCAGCCCCCTCCCAAAATAAGGGCACAAAAGACTCTGCTTCCTGCCCAAGTAAATTGCAGGAGCATGGGCCGTTCTTAAAAAATAAGAGCATGATCCACTGCACTTCACTCAAAGGTATTGTTTTATCAATTATTCTACTTGTTCTTTGGTTACACCTAAAGTCACTGCCAACCCAAGGACCTTGCAAGCAACCTAGGTGACCTTTGACTTGGTCAGTACAGGCTGACAATTTCATGCTTCTTGTATACCAAAGGAGGGAAAAAAAAGTTTCATGCATTTGGTATTTTCCAAAGTGTATTCCTTGGAACACTAGCATCCCCCACGATCCTCCCCCCCACCCACACACACACACCCATTCCCATTCCCTCTCATTTCTTGAGCAATTAAATAAATTCTGCTGAGTAGACAGTATTTCCCTAATGGACATTATCACATTAAAGGTCTGAGAAGTCCCACAGGAAATACATTGATTAAAATTTATTTATGCCCATCCGGCAAAGTTGTTTTGACTAAATATACCTTTTTCCCCTGAAGATTCTTAAGATCAGGGAAACAATGTTCTGAGGTAACCAGCTTCAGACTGGAATGAACATAGCCCTAGGGGTAGCCTAAGGCATCCAGGAGGCTCCTGGGTGTGGATAGCTCTCAGCATCTCAATGTCAAGACCCCCACCTTCCAAGATGAACTACTGCCTAAAAATGATTCTCCTTGAGAGAGCACCTCTGGTCAATTTGTTTCACTTTGGGGGAAAAATTAATTACCTTTCACTCTAATTATACTCAGGTGCACGATCCATCCAGATAATGAACACCTGAGGTGCAAACACAGGGCCAGTCTGAAACGCGGCAATGCCTCTAATGACCAACTAGAAAACCCTTTGTTGAGTTATTGTTGTTCCACAAGTCTTTGCTTTCAACAAAACTGACAGGATCCAGTTAAATATTCAGCTCACAGATCATCAAAAATAATTTTTGATGATAGACCACAACAATTTTGGGCATGTAACTTGAAGACCTGAGGAACTCTTTGCTCTCCCACATATTTATTTATGAGAACAACATTTCTCAGAACTTAAAACTATAAAAATTAGAAAGAGAAATAAGAGCAATGCTGAACCCTGTCTCACTGTAACGCAGTAAGTCACAGATTCTGGAATTAACTAAAACTAAATCCACACCCATCTCAAGGACGCAGTCACAATACTGGATTATTAAGAATGCACTATAAGCAAAAGGAATACAGTTATGTCATTTTGTTCCACTGTGCACTGATAATTGTAACAAACTTCTTTAATCCTGGGGACTTACTTTTACAGGAAATACATATTTAGCTTCAAGACTCTGTCCACTTTTCAGTTACTAAGGAGGGTGACAGCGGAACTGAAAGGATAACATTTTGTGACAGAAGAGAAACGGGAATGGAAGTTCAAAAAGCAAAGGAACGAGGTGAAATGTGGCCGTCTAAAAGCCCGCTCACAGGATTTTTTAAATGGATGATGGTTTTAGAGTAAAATATTCAAAGAGCAATGAATCGGTTTCCTTTTTAAAATATATTATAATATGCCAGAAATTACAGCCTTTCAACTAATGCAATTTATGTCAACCTCAAACTGTACAAAAGAATATTTCGTTTTTCAAAAATTATGGAACATGCATATCACAGTAAGAAGAATAAAGTAGTTATCTAAGGGTTGATATGAAAAAATTATCACACTGTGAAGTTTCTTGACTAGGCTGAATTACAGTCCCCAGTCAATCAATCAGACACTAATCTGGGTGCTGCTATGAAGGGATTTTGCAGTTGTGATTAAAAATCCTAATTGGCCCTGGCCGGTTTGGCTCAGCGGTTGGAGCGTCGGCCTGCGGTACAGAGAGACCCGGGTTCGGTTCCCGCTAAGGGCATGTACCTCGGTTGCAGTTTGTCCCCGGCCCTGGTTGGTCATGCGGGTGGCAGCCACTCGATGTGTCCCTTTCACATCGATGTTTCTCTCTCTCTTCCTCTCTCTCCCTCCCACTCTACCTGAACAAAAAATGGAAAAATGTCCTCGGGTGAGGATTATAAAAATAAAAAATAAAAAAAAAATCCTAATCGGCTGAAGTTATTCAAAAGAAAGATAATGCTGTGTGGGCCTGGCCTAATCAGATGAAACCTAGAAAGGAGGTTTAGGCTTTCCCTGACCTTGGAGACTCCAAACAGCTCCTGCCAGCTGACCATGACCTGCCCTTCCTGTCCACCTGCCCTACAGACTTCAGATGCGCTTGGCTGCCCCCACACTACCTAAGCCAATCCTGTGTGATAAATCCCTCATGGGGTGCTGTATTACTGTGTCTGCCTGCCTTTCTCTCTCTCTTTCTCTGTCTCTCTCTCAGACACAAGTGTCTCCTACTGGTTCTGCTTCTTCCTGTGTCCCCAGGGGTGACATTCTATAACCTGTAGTACAATATAAAGAATAGGAAAGTGACTCTGGAACAATGCTGCTAGCGAGGCTCCAGGCCTCATTCAGATTTCACCAGTTTCTGCATGCACGAACGTGTGTCATGTGTGGTTCTATGCATCTGATATCATGTGCAGATCCGTGTACTGCTCCATCGCCACGGAGTGACCATGTGCTGCCCCTTTAGACATACCCACCCTCCCATCACACCCCATCCCTTTGAAACCACTAACCTGTTCTAATCATCCGACATTTGGGGAAAGTTACAAACATGGAATCATAGAGCACATGGTCTTTGGAGACTGGCTTTTTGCACTCAGTACGTCCAAGGTCATCCAAGTGGCAGCACGTATCAACAGTTCACTCATTGTTGGTGCTGCACAGTTTTCTATGGCATGGATGTTTGTTTACCAGAGGACCAGTTTGTTTAACCTTTCACCCGTAGAAAATATCTGGACTGCCTGCAGGTTTTGGTCATTACAAATAAAACACGGACACTCGTGCAGAGGTTGTTGTGTGGTCATAAGTTTTCACTTCTCTGGGACAAATGCCTAAGAATGTGATTATTGGGCCATATGGCAAGTACATGTTTAGCTTTATAAAACACTGCCAAACTGTGCTCCAGAGTGCCTGCACCATTTTACACTCCCACCAGCAGGGGATGAGGGATCCAGTTTCTCTACATCCTCACCAACATTTGGTGGTGTCGCTATTTTTCACTTAACCATTCTGATAGGTGTGAAGTGATATCTCATTGCGGTTTGAATTTGCACTTCCCTGATGACTAATGATACTGAGTTTCTAAATAATAATGCGCTTATTTGCCCTCCTGAATCTCCTCTTTGGTAAAATAGCTCTTGCATTTTTTACCCATTTTGTAATTGGATTGTTTATTTACTGCCGAGTTTGAGAGTTCTTTATTCTAGAGACCAACCCTTTGTCAGATAAGCAGTTTGCAAATATTTTCTCCTAGACTGTAGCTTGTCTTATCATCTTCCTGGCAGGTCTTTCACAGAGCGTAAGTTTCTCATTTTGATCAAGTCCAATTTATCTTTTTATGCTTTCGGTGTCAAGTCTAAGAAGTCTGCTTAACACCCAAGGGCTTTCTCCTGTGTCTTCATCTAAAGGGTTTCCAGTTTTACTTTTGACATGTAAATCTGTGACCCATTCTAAATTCATCTCTGAGGCTGACATCGATGTTCATTCATTTTGCCTGTTGATACCCAATTCCTTCAGCACCAGTTGTTAAAAGTCTGTCCTCCCTCCATTAAACTTTTTTTGCACCTTTGTCGAAAACTAGTTGGGCATATTTGTGTGGATCTATTTCTGGGCTCTCTATTCTGTTCCACTGATCAATTTATCTATTCCTTGATCATTTTGTTTTTTAAAAACTTTTTTTTTTTAATTTTAAAAACAAATGTTTTTATTGATTTTTTAGAGAGAGAGGAAGGGAGAGAAGCATCGATGTGATAGAGAAACATCAATCAGCTGCCTCCTGCACGCCTCCCGCTGGGGATAAAGCCTGAAACCCAGTTATGTGCTCTGACAGGGAATCGAACTGGGGACCTTTCAGTCCATGAGAGAACACTCAATTCACTGAGCTACACCAGCCTAGCTAAACACTTTCCTATGTGTTCAATTTATT